GCAAACCCGTACCCGTCGCACTTCCGTTCCATGCACAATATTGTAGAAGCCGCACGGACAACGCACGGCGAGGCATCGCAACAGCACGTTCTCCGCTTCTCGGGCGGCGTTGAAAAAGACCCACGGCGATGCAGTGCGCCGTCCGCAGCTGAGGTCGCCTGCGCAGTGGTCGGTGAAGGCCCGCTTCCGCCTCGCTACGTCTCCGTCTTCCCCCGCCGTTCCGACGGCTCCGCCGCCACCCAGGAGGTCTCCTTTTTGTCCGAACATGTGGACCCCTTGACGTACCCGCTCGTGCACGTAGAGGGGACACTCGGCTACTCCCCTGCCTTGCACACCGACGCAGTGGGCCGCAGGAAGAGGCGAAAGATATACATGCGGGAATTCTACGCACACCGCCTGCCTGAAGTTTCCAATGCACTCTAAATTTAAGGTATTGGCGTTTGCAATATTTAAGCTTAAATCTAATATCTTACACATAACTTTTGCTTAACATTTAAGGTCGTGAAATGCCCCATTTAACGCTAAATTTAAAGTTATATTTAAGGTTGCGAGCGCAACTATTTAGCGGCAGTGGAGGTCGTTCCATTCTGGCCGCAACATGCCATGCAGCGCGTGCGCAAGAAATTGTGGCTCGGTTGCAACGACGTATGAGTGATGGGAAGGACGGCCTTGCACTGTCCCTGCGTGCGCAGCCGCAGCGGAGTTCCGCGGTGCGGATTGCATATGTCATGATTGCTCCTGTCCTTTCATCGTCGCCAGGAGTCCCACGACCCACCCACACGCCCGCGACCCGCTCGCGACCCGCCCGCCGCCCACCTGCCACCCGCTCGCCACCCGCCCGCAACCCTCCTACGACCCGCCCGCGACCCTCTGGCCACATCCCCGCGACCCGCGTGCGATGCGACGCGCCGCGCGCGGCCGAACGGATTTGTTATTCCTCTCATAGATACTGGCGCATGGCATTTGCGAGTATGAAAACTGAGTGGGAAGGAAGCCGAACCCGAGGACAATGCATGCGAACCAGCGGAACTGCTTGGCAGTCGGCGGTGAGAACGATTTTCCGATCAGGGCCATCGTGCCCGTCTCCCCCTGACGATGGGCATGATAGTCTCGCCCTATGCGCAGCTCGAATCCAGAAGTCCTCTGCTCAACCCCGCCCTGGGCGAACAGATAACCCCATGGCCCAGATCGCCCCTAGCATGCCCGTCGAAACGATCCCGAGATGGTCCCATGACGACCCCGCGACCCTACATATGACCCCACGCCGACCGCAAGGTTTCAAGGCAACCCCAAATGCCATCTCGAGATCACACACCACGACCCTAGCAATACCCAGAGACTGCCAGAGGACGACCCACAGATGATCCCGCGACGACCCCTACATGGCCCGATGACCCCATAGATGGCCCCGAAGTCTTAAGATGACCGCAGAACGACCGCGAGAAGAACCAGAGACAACGTTTTTTTTTTCTGTGCGCACGTTGCGGCATCTGTGTGCACGCATGGTTTCCCCTAGAGCGGTCCTGTGGTGCAGTGGGCAGACGGGTGGCTCGAAAAACCTGCTAGGCAAGCCCCGTCCAGGAAACTATCCTAGTTTTGCATGCCTGCTGTTGCTGCTTCCCTTTTCCCCCTCGTCGCCCTAGCTGTCCCTCCTCGCGGCGAGAAGGAGGAGGAGGAGGAGGAGGAGGAGGAGGAGGAGGAGGAGGAGGCAGAGGGTAGCGTCGTCGCTCCCGCCGCCGCCGCTCCCGTCGTCTCTTCCCCTGCCTTCGCCGCCGCCGTTTCTGCCGCTGCCGCCGCTGCCAGGGCTGTAAGTGCATCGGCCGCTGTTGCCGCTGCTGCCGTTGCGTTTGCTCCTGCTCTTGCTCCTGCTGCTGCTCCTGCTGTTGCTTTTGCTGCTGGGCTTTCGCTCTTCCGTTTTGTCCCCCTCTCCTTCCCTCACCTCTGGCGCTCCCCCTCCTCTCCCCCTCCAGCCCTCCCCCCTCCCTTCCCCCCCTGCTGCTGCTGCGGGCCCCTTTCCCTCTGCCTCCCTCGCTCCCTTTGGTGCTGAGTTCGGTCCGTTTCACTTCCTTTTCCTCCTCCCGTCCCCTCCCCCCCCTCTCCCGGGGTGGCGCAGGGCAGAGGCCGCGCCGTCCCCGCCATCCCCGTCGTGGTGCGCCTCCTCCAGACGAGCCTGGAGGCGGGGCCGCGGCGGCCCGGCCAGGGACGGGCAGAGGGGGGAGAAAGAGAGAGAAAGAGAGAGAGAAGGCGGGGGAGAGGAGAGGGGAGGAGAGGGGGGGACGGGGGGAGAGGAGGGGAAGGGGCAAACGAGCAAGAGAAGAGGGGGGAGGAAAGCAACGACATGGGAGGCGATGCGAGGCGAATCGAGGATGCGGAAAAGGAACAACGATAGAAGAAACATATGGAACTCGCAATTTCGCGCGATCGTGTAAATGCACGCGGTAACAGTCGAAACACTTGCAGAACTTTGGACACACCCACTTGCGGGTCTGTCCAACATCAGCTTGGCAGGCCAGGGGATGATACGCAGTAGGGTTAATTCGTACCCTTCGCCATCTGGCCTCACTAGTCCCCTCGTCCTCCGCCTCGCCTCCTCCTCCTCCTCTCCTCCTCAAAAAATCGCTGGCCGGTTTAGCGGTGCAAATTTCAGTGTTTCACCTTGGCCAGCCCCGCGGTACAAATTTAAGTGCTTCAATTTGCCGTTTTGAAGGCTGTTCGAATGGAGGTGCAGTCTTTCGGTGCCCCAAAAAATCGAACCACTTGCAGAACGTCCCAAAACCATAATGCAAGGACAATGAGGGAGACCAGACAGACATGGAAAGAGGCTCATAACCACCAGAAAAGAGAAACCTGGTAACAGCGATTTTCTCGCATATCGTTCCGCACCGACTTGTTTTTTGCTGGCCCCAGGGCCCGAACAGCGATGAAAACAAAATAGGATCGCCCCGACGCGCGGTTTGGCACAAACCGCATCCAACGAACACGGCGTGAAAAAATGCAGCCGAGAAAAACAACAACAACAACATTGCACGTCAGAGGTGGGGGCGGGGGGGGAGAGCGGGAGGAGACCGCGGGTGGGGGAAGATGGGGGTGGAACATCATTTGCGGCAGCTGCAAGAGCAGAAGCGTCAGCAGCAGTAGGGGTGAGGGGGAGGGGCGGCGAGGAGGACTAGGAGGAGGACGAGCCATGATATGATTATTTTTCTGCGAAGATACAGGCGTCTCGATTTCTTGCTCCAGTTAAAAAAGGGGGGTCTCGAAATCGAGACGGGCAAAACTAGCAGCGGGCATCGTGCCCAAGCAGCGGGCACCAAGTAGAGCGCCAGGCATTTAGTAGCATAACTTGAATTCGTCCATAAAACGCCGCGCTGTTTCTTGGCCTCCTACCTTAAATTTGAGCGTTTTGGAGATTTGGACCGCCACAGTACGAAGGCCGATCTCGCCGTAGCCGTACTTCTTCATGGTTTTCTTCACTGCCGATATCTGCTTCGACGTCAGGTTGCCCGCTTTCTCCAATGTAGATTTTCTCCCCGATACCTTCGCGCCCCCGGTCGTCGTGATTAGCTTTGGGGACAGCTTCTTTTTGAGGCGCTTGGTATTCTTTATGGCCTTCTTGACGTTTTTGGCCCGCTTGTCCCGCCCCTCCTTCAGACGATAGATAACCAGGTCCTTTTCGAGTTCAACCCGTGCGAATTCAATGCGGCGCATGAAAACCTGCACGGGGCTGGGGTCGTGGTCGAAAAGCCCCGGCGCGTCGGCGACGATGATCGTGATCCCCAGCTTTTTGCTGAGGTCATAAATCTCCTCCGCCACCTTGGCGGAGCGGGACACAGCCCGACTTTCGCCGACAAACAGCTTCTTGTTGCCTTTGCTGGCCTCCTCCAGCAGGGTCTGGAAAGTGGCCCTTTGGGGTAGCCACGGTAATCAATAGCGGATCTAACAATGATGCGTTCATGTTTTCCCCATCCCATTTACGACCCCCCTGCTCTGATTACGTGGCTGACCTGACCTTTCCGCCAGCGGCAAGCTCCCGCTGATGCGCTCGCTCACGAACTTGATTTCATCGTTGTAGGCGCGTGCAGCTGCAGCACCACTCTTTTTCTGCCGTGCTTCGCTCCCCTTGTCGGCTCCGGCATTCGCCGCCGAGCTCGTCCGGGAGTACACGATGGCCTTGCCTCGCGCCTTTCTGCGGCGCATGGCAATGCGGGGCGCCATTTTGCACTGGGGGGGGATCCGAAGTTGCGACTCGCGAGAGCCGTCGGCTTGAACCAACGTGGGATGACGATGACTATTGTGACGAGCGATACACAAAAAGTATGGGAGCATAAGAATTTGGATGAAGGGTGAAGGGCGGGGCTGGAGGAAGCAAAGGAATGAAGAACGAGAAAGGGATGAACAAACGGGAAGAGAAAGAGAAGTGGGAGGAGCATCGGGGGGCAAGAGTTTGGGGGGGGAGTTGGAGCAGGAATCGCACTGCGAGTAAGTTTAGGATTCGGCGTAGTAAGGGGATTTTATCATTGCAGTACTCAGATAACCTTCTTGGGGCAATAGCTGTGCAACGGCGCAATGAAACTGTCACGGAATACCTCTTGGAGGTGGTGACCATTTCGACAAGTCAGAGGAACAGTTAAATGCCTCAAGTGATCCAGACAGTGCTCGTGTCTCCAGACGAGGAAGGAGGACGGAGGGAAACTATAATGAGGACCTGTACAGTGAGGTCTTAATCCACAGGTAGCATTTGCATAGAAGTGCTCGCACCCCCACCCCGCGCCCGCATATGATGACAAGTGGCCCGAAGAAGAGATAGTAAAGAGGAGTAGGAAGAACTACTCCCGCGCAGAAGGGGGGCGAGGGGGGAGACCAAACGACTAGGAAACGGGGGCTGAGGAACAGCAGGTTGAATGCGATCAGGAGGGGCGTAGGAGAGTCGGGCGCTGGTTGCCATAATTACTGTCGGTGCTAAAAGGCGTTCTGGGTCAAATACATGCCAGTTCTGAACAGCGATGTCCGCCTGGAGGGCCAGGGTCGACCATGATGTGACCGTCCGCCAGATCCAACAGATCTTGCAGGGGTGGCTGAAACAACAGGAGAGCAAAGACCTCCAGGCCGCACTCGGCCCGGAAGTCTTCCGAGTCCAGCGGGGCCGCGCCTCCCCGCCCGACGTCTTCTCTTCGAAGCAGCCGCTGTGGCTGGAGCTGGTGAAACTGTGCCCTGAGTGCCGCCTCTCGCCTACGAGGACCACCAGTGCCATTTTGGCAATGAACGCCGAGGAGGAGCCGGCATCGCAAAATGGGGTTCCTGGGGCAGGAGGGCCCCTATCCCGTTTTCGTGGGGCAGTCGCGGCCGCTTTGAATTGTAGCCGCGCAGGAGTGCCTGTTTGGCGGAAAAAGCTTCCAGACCCAGGCCGACGACATCGGGGGCGCCATCAGGGCCACTGTAGCGAAGATCCGGGAACTCAAGGGCGACGCCGTTGCGAGGATTGCTTTTTCAATGTTTTTTTTTTTTTGTTTTGTACAAACTAAAACGCGGCGGGGGCGCGCCCCAGGGCAAAACATCGCCACAGGCGCGTCTTGCTTGGCAAGTGCTCGCTCGAGCAGGCGGATCGCATCCACGCGCTCTTCGCGGCCGTCGCCGCCCCCGCGCCGACGCCGCAGGCGGGCCCCGCGAGGGCCAGAGCAAACGAGAACGAGGGCGGCATGGCGCCCCCAGGCGACCCCGCGCAGAGGGCCGGCGAGGACGAGGGGCGCGCGCCAGTGAAGTGCACCGCCATCGTGCCCATGGGCGCGGGGCAGGCGGCGCCGACTCGCTCCGCCCCGACACCCTGCGGCACGTGGAACACTGACCCCCACGGTTCAGTTGGGGAGATCCCAAGATCCAATTCTCCATTTTGGGTTTTCCTTAACATGTTTTTTAAAATGGCATGCAATATCGTTGATATTCCGGAGGTTTCCATTGGCCCGACTTCGACGCCGTGTGGGACATGGTCGCCGGAAACGAGCCAGAGGGGAACTCCCAGACCACCCCCGTGAAGAAAGCGTGCCCGACTTCCCCTTCTTCGTCTGGGATGAAGGACACGTTTTCTTTTTGTTCCTGCGTTCTCACTCAGAACGCCAAGCGGTCCACATGTTCTGTCCTCCCTAACGTACATGATTTCCCCTGGCCTCGAGTTCTGCTCTCACTCAGAGTGGAAGTCGCCTCGCAACCATAAACGCGACCGCACCGTCGCCAGAAAACTCTCTTCTTCTTCTCCGAGAAGGCTGGGAGTTTGAACCGCCTGTTCGAGGACCAGGCGCCGACGAGCACGCACGGGCTGACAGCTGAGAGCGTCCTCGAGGACGCGCGCAGGGTGCCTCCACTTCCCGCTGGCGGTCGCGCGATCTCCAAGATGGTGCTCTGGGGAGCCCGCCTGAACGCGTAGGATGCCCCATTGACTCAATGGGGCTCTCGACCTAAAACTGCGGATAGGCCGGCGCACCCAAAATGAGGATGTCAATCTTATGTTGTTCCGGCTTGCCCGCCTCACTTTGCGCTCTTCCGCAGGTGCGGGACGCCGTCGCCATCGAGCACCCTGAGAAAGCCAAGAAGGGAAGGGCGAGGCAGGGCAAGGGGGGCAAGGGCAAGAGGGCAGCCCAGGGAAGCAAGGGCAAAACAAAGAAAAAGGTGAGCAAGGGCAACCATAGCAAAACACGGGCCAAAGCAGATGCGGCTGCTGGCCCAGGGAACCCCGCCCGCGAGCTGAAGCAACGCATCGTGCAGTGGATGGAGGACGGGACCGCAGTCCCTTGGGAACACTTCTTGCGCCCCACAGACAATCGGAAAAGGTTCACGTCCAGGGCGTGGCACGCTGGCAGGGACGTGGCCGCGAGTTTTGGCATGGACGACCCCCTCTCGAAGGCGAAGGCCGCCTCAGTGTCTGAGATGGCTGGCGCGTGGTACTCCGCCCACGGCATATAGGTTAGCCTTGCGCCCTTCAGGGTATCTGGCGCCACGCATTTACCGTTCCGTCGACTGGCCCCTGCTGCTTTAGCGCGGTGGGTTGGGGCCCATGGCACCGCTGGGTCGTGCGTGTCATGAGGGGCGCAGTCGAACTTCAAACCGTTAAGCACACCGTTCGCCCCCTGCGCTGTCGAGGGAAAACATGTCAGAGGACTGCAGCGGAGACCTCCACAGCAGCGAGGTGAAGCATGCGTTTTACTCGACATGAAGCCTTCTATAGTGATCCCTTCCTTCTCCCCCTCCTCCTTTCCGTCTCCATGTGTTTCTGTTTCGCAGTCGTGGGGCGCCCCGTTTTGGCTCCACTCTCGCGATGCGCTCTTCTTTTTTCTGCTTCACAGTCGTGGGCCGCTCCGTTTCTCTGCTTCGCAGTCGTGATGTGTTCCTTCTGCTTCTGCTTCTCAGTCGTGGGGCGCTCCGTTTTTCTGCTTCGCAGTCGCGATGCGCCCCTCCTCTTTCTGCTTCGCAGTCGCGTTGGTCTGACTTCCGCGGCGTCTTTCACTCAAAGGCGCCGGGAAGGGGGCCAATCCAGCGAATGGAATTGGAGAAGGACGGGGGGCAGGAGGACCAGGAGGAGGACGAGGGGGAAAGCAGGGGGAGGGGCGGGAGAGAAGAGGAGGAGCAAGGGCACGGGAAATGGGTTTCGCCGCCGCTCTAGCCGCCACCTCTCGAGATGCCAGCCAACCCAGACAGGGCCCCAAGCGGCGCAGCGCGCGTGCGCTGCAGGGCGCTTTGGGTTGGGAATCTGCCTCACTACGTCGAGTTCGACGCTGTGAGGCGGCTATTCCTGGACAGAGGTTGCCATGGAGTGGTAGACTGGTGGGCGACGCGCCGGGTGGGGAGCCAGGGCGAGGAGCAGGACAGCTGGATGGTGCTGATCTTCAGCACCGCGTGGCAGGATGTTTTCTTAGGGGGGGGGCAGCCTTTAACTCGAAGGCGCTGTTCTTTTCTATTGCGCCGAGCGCCATTGGCGCCTTTCACTCAAAGGCGCAATGGGAGCTCCAGCGCAACAGTGCGTTGTCTTTTAAGCTGTTCTCTGAGGCGCAGATGGCGTATGAGACGTTCAACGGCCGGCTGGCGTTCGGCTACAAAGAACTGATCCTCAGGCACCGTATTCTCTCACAATGCGCTCTGCAATGACATTCGTTTCAGTGCAGCTTCTGGCGCGCAGTGCGCGGCAGGAGCTGCAAGGAAAAGGCGCGATTAACTCTGTGGCGTGCGCGTTTCCTTCGTTCGCCGAAGAATTGTTTTACCCCGAGGCAGAAGCAAGACGCCGACCCCGAGACCAGGGCTGAGCGCTCGCTAAGGGGGGCGCCGCTGCCGGAGGGGGCTACGCCGACGGAGCGCATGGCGAAGCCTTTGCCAGGTTCCGCATTCTTAGGAAAAGCACGCAAACATGTTTTGTTTATTTGAATGTGTCCCGCGCCCGCTTCCATTCACACGTAAAACGCCCGCAGAGGCAATTGTGGGCGCCCCCAGGCGCCACGCCTCGCGGTCCAGGAGAACCAGAACCAGCGCCGCAGCCTGTCGCCATCCCTGAGTTGGTGACGTACGGCGTGGCGCCACCACCGCCGCCGCAGTCTGCGCTTCGGCCGCCCCTGCCGCCTGGGCCCCAGAAGAAACTCAAGCGCGCTGCGCAGGATCCTCTTTTGTGACCCAGTGCAAAGACACCCCCCCACGATAAAACTCAGCGCTCGAAGTCGACCGCTCGAGCGTCCACAAAAACACGCAGCAGGAAAATCTTTGGCACGGCCGGGGGGCCCACAGCTGCTCGGACGCCTGCCTCGGTGCCCCCACGGGGGGAGAAGTAGCTGTCCGTGATGGGAACAAAGCTCGCAGGAGGAGCCAGCGCCGCCACCGCCTCCGCCACCGCCACCGCCACCGCCCCCGCCGTCAGCAGCCGCCGGCAGCACCAGTGGCAGCGGGCGCTTGGCTCTACATGGTTACGGCGCCGCTGGTGCTGACGACCCGCAGCCAGCGCCCGCGCCGCAGCCGGTGCCTACTTCACCAGCGTCCCTGAGCTGCCCCAAAGGCCACTCTTTCGAGTGCGAGGTGGCGGGCAAATGCCAATTCATAAAGCGGCGGGGGATCCGCGACGGGCCAATCAATCATTGGCCCTGCGCGCTCTACCATGGCGGGCAACGCGAAACCTTCTCCCCCCGAAGCCAGCGACCTGAAGCATGCAGTCAACGCACTTAAGGGCCTGCGCCCTTGAGCGGGGGGGGGGGATGAACAGGGCCGAGTCCTCATGGGTCCCTATCCCTGCTAAGACCTAAACTCGACCTTAGGATATCCGCGCTGCAGCGGCGGCCGCTGCAGGCGCGGAACGGCGCGGCTCGCAGGAGGGGGCCTCAAGCTGCCAAATCCATGTGCATATGTGCATACATTATATATATAGATATATATATATATGTATATATATAGAATTGCATTGATTGTCCGATCGTTCCGACGGCGGTCGGTCGGGCGCCGATCGGCCGCGAACCTTGATGCACGGGGCCGGGGGGGAGGGGGAAAGCCGCGAAGACCGCTAAGGCAGAGAAGCGGAGCATTCGTGAATGGATCTGATTCCCGGCCCCGCCGCGGATGCCACTCCTGAGCTGCCCGTCATCTGAAGGGCCTCGCTGAAACCGCTGGCGCGTCCACAGACAACCCACCGCAAAAGGTGGAAGAGGAACTATGACGAGGAGCAGGAGGGAAAGGAAAGGAGAGGTGAGGACGGAGGTCGAGGACGAGAGGGAGGATGGGAGAGGAGAGGTCGGGTTGGTCCCAGGACGCGTTTTGGGACTTTATATAAGTGGCCGCTGCGGCCACAGGAGTTTCCCGCACAGTGCCCTTGCCCCTTCCCCTCCCCCCCCCCCATCGTTAGATATCTGACTGGCTCTGCAGTCCCCCAGTCCATCCTGGCGTAGCGGGACATAGGTTCTGCGGACGGTCGCGGTTTCTTTCGCTCGGAAGTTTTTGGGCTACCACGCGCTTCGCTATGATACGAATTCGGGCCATATTTGTATCATCTCTTCCTCTCGCTCCTTCTCGTCTTCCGTCCCCCCCCCTCCTCGACCTCCTTGTCAGCGTTCGCTCGCATTTGCGGGAGGGGCAGGGAGAAAAAAAATGACATGTTCATCCTGGCTTGTGATCTAATGCTTTCTGCGCGCCCTTCCAGATGCCAGACTCTGCATTTAGCGGTTTACAAACCGCGAACAACAAACAGCTTCCTGGGGGGAGAGGGAAGGTGCACTTTAGGTGCACTTTCGGTGCACTTGCACCGAAACTGCACGTGCAATTTTGGTGCACTTCTGGTGCACTTTTAATGTAGTTTATGTTCAGTTTTGGTGCAGCTTGCATCGTGGATTGTAGGGATTGCGCAACAGTGTCACGGATCGCAGGTGCACTTTACCACGTGTCTGGGAAAAGTGCACCAAAAGTGCACCGAAAGTGCACCAAAAGTGCACGTACAGTTTCGGTGCAACTGCACCGTAACTGCACCAAAACTGTACCTCCATTGTCTGCCACGTTGTCTCTGCTTCTGTGCGTGTGTATGTGCGCGTGTGGTTGCTTCTGTGCGTGTTTTTGTTTTCGGACCCCGGGGGCAAACCATCGCAATGTATAGCGTTCAGCAAGCGTGGCGGGTATAACTTTTCCGCCTGTGCTGTTGCACCCGCAAGCGGGCCTCACAACGTAAGAGGGGCCGGAGGAGGAGGAGGAGGAGGAGGAGGAGGAGGAGGAGGGGGAGGGAGAGGCGTGTGTGTGTGTGTGTGTATGTGTGTGCGTGTCTGCCTCCAGTGTCTGCCACGTTGTCTCTGCTTCTGTGCGTCTGCAGTGCGTTCGCGTGCTCAGGCGCTTTAGTGCGGCAGTGCGTAAGCAGTGGGACACGGGCCGCTTGTTCTGCGGTGCACGCCAATCGGTGAGAGACGAAAATGGCGATGAAGAAGCCCGCAAGTGCCGGTGGTGTCGCTGGCCTGGTGGACTTCGTGAAGGGTCTCGAGCAGGATTTTCGCATCGAGTGAGGGTTGTGGAGGGAGGGGGACAAGGAGGGATGCGGAGGAACGAGGCTGAGGAGGCACTGGGGTCGCGCCTCATAAAAGAAAGGCCTCGCAGGAGACGCTGCCGGCTGACGGCGAGGACGGGTCTGGGGCCGAAGGCGCGGCAACGACGTTGAGGCGCCCAGCAGCAGCAGGCGCGGCAACGGCGTTGAGGCGCCCAGCAGCAGCTCCCGTCGCGCCCAACGCCACGGCGGCGGCAAAAAAACGCCCGGCGGCAGCAAGAAAGGATGAGGAGGAGGTCAGGGACCGCACGAAACAACGCAAGTTGGAAGACACCTTCGACCACTTGCCACAGGAGTGCCAGGAGGCCATCCTTGACCTCAAAAAAAAAGGGGCTGGCAACAGGGACAAGTTGACGAAGATCATCAACGCCTTGGTCCACCGCACGCCGGATGGCAAACTCGTGGTGAAAACGGACGGGTGCGAGGAGCTCTGGAAGCAGGCGCCGAGCATTCACCCCTAAGGTGGTCAACCAAAACAGTCTAGGTTTCTTCATATAAGAGAACACCAATATATATGTATGCATAGAGAGAGGGGGAGGAGAAGAGGAGGCTCACGAGGGGAGCATGGGAACAGCACGTGCGCAGGTGCACGTGTACAAGGAAAAGAAGTACAGCAAGGACGAGAAGCAGGGCGTCCAATGGGAGATCGGTTGCCAGATGGTGGGCGGGAAACAGATCCTTGAAGATATGTGCGCGAACAACAGGGCCAAAAAGTACATGGCGGGGGACGTGCCCATGGTCTCATTCATTCACCAGACGGTTCTGTTTTGCAAATGGGGGCCCTGCTCACACATGTTGTGGGCTTTCACTCAAAGCCGTCAGCCGACAGCCGAGGTCACGGACATACAAGTCGACACGAAAATGCAATGCCGCGGGACCCTGCGAAAAACGACCCCTTTTGGCTGAAATGGGTCGTTTTCTCCGGCGGCACACATTCGTGAGGCGTGACCCCAAGGCGGCCCATCCCCGAGACATTAGCTAACAAAGGCGTGATAAACACTTGGCATATCATGATGCTTCGCGCCAGGTTGGCAACGAGAAGTCGGCCGGCTTCGCGTCCTCTCTGGGCGAGCAGAAAAAGGTCGACAAGGAGACGGCTGCGCGCCTGAAGGAAACCATGAAATCCATGGGTTGGGAGTTCGAGACTGAAACGGGCGGCGGGAGGTTCAGGGGCGAAGCCCCCTCAACGTTCGCAGACTTCAAAGACGTGCCAAACGACGTCAAGGAGAAAGTGAACAAGGCCACGCATTTGCATGCGAGGGGCCGCTGCTCTCTGACTAAGAGGGATAACGCGGCCCCTCCCAGACAGGTGGGTGGCAAGGCAAAGGGCGCGAGGAGAACGACAAACCGCCCCTGCCCGAGCAAGAAGTGTTCCCATCAGGGGGGAAAGGAGGAATGAGGGGGAGAATAAGCGACGGGAGCCGATGCGGTTGCGTGCCAAATCACCCATTTGGCTTAGAGACAATGGTGGCATGAGGAGGACATTGTCAGGAGTTTGAGGGGCCAACACAGCGATTTGTCACAGCACTGCAGTGTAGTCAAGCAATGCTAATGCATCCTCTGGTCGTTTTTTAACACCCCAACATGATTCAAACGCAGTAGAAACATGTTAGCGCCGCGGCCTGTTCAGCGACACGGGTGGCACTACATATGAGGAATAAAACGCGTCTCAAATGCAACCTCTGGTCGGTGCTCGTCAGAAGAGACGGGGCATGCTTGACGTGACCAACGCTGGCTGCGTCACGGAATACCTCTGGTCCGCGCGCGACCCAGCCTTCAAAACGGGAAACACGGGAACCGAATTGCGAGGCCTGGAGGAACGCCTCCATGGTGTTCGCCAAGAACGAGAAGCTGGCGTCCAAGGCCAGGGGCGAGCGCCTCACGGAGCAGGGGACTGAGGCCTTTGCCCCCGCAGCTCTGTTCGGGCAGCGGCCTTGTCAGCAATGGTGGTGCGGGGGCATGGGCGGAGCAGCGCGTGGGCAGTCGCGCGCGCGTTTGGCTATGTGAGTTCCTTTTGTTTTGGCCTTTCCGAGCGGAACTTGCATTGCCCAGAGGCGTTCCACGCCTTCGTGACAGCGCAGGTCGAGCTCAAGAAATTCCACACGATAGTGGACCAGCTGATCATGCACGGCCGCTACGCCGACGGGATTTGATTTTGATGTGTAGCAAGTTGCGCGTTGCAGCCATTCACTCAATGGCTCCATGTAGCTGCCATTAACTAAATGGCTTCATGTTAAAGATGGCGTTCTGGAGTGGGCGCGCCCGCCTTGACTGTGCGACGTGCGCATGCGCGCGCACTCCCGCAAACACGTCTACCAGCGATGACATCACGTTGGATGGCCTGCACGCGCTCCTGATGAATCTCGCGGGTGCCATCGAGAAGTCTTTCAATTGCTCCAGCGTGATCAAAGGCTACATTTCTTGAGCCGGCAGCTCGCTGCAGCGCCCGCCCGAGTTGGTTGGCCATGCAAGCTGCCCGCCCCGCAAGACGCCGAAATGCGGCAAGGCAGCGTCTTGCCGCGATGCGTAGCCGGTTGCGCGCCTGTTACGGCATTGCGCAATATCATCGTATTGTTGAGTTCCCCATCGAGCACGCGAGGGACAATGTGGCGCTCGCTCTGAACAGTAGGAGGAGGAAGAGGCGGAGGAGGAGGGGGGGAGGAGGAGGAGGAGGAGGACAGGGAGGAAAAAGGAACGACAGGAGGGGGACGGGGAGTGAGAAAGGAGGGTGGAGGACGAAAGCCTGCGCTGGGAAGCAGACGGGGGGGAAGAGCAAGGGAGGGGAGGGAAGGAGGACGGGTAGGAAATGAACTGGAAACGTTGGGGGGGGGGAGGAGAGATATGAGTGCGCAACTGCGTGCGCTTTGACGTAGTCAGAAGAGTTTTGGTACGAGCAGCGTCGCCGTGGCCTTCACTCAAGGCATTCGCGTTGCAAACGGGATCGGCATTCACTCAATGCCAACTGTTCCATGCGCGGCCAGAGCTGCTGGCTGCAAAATGTTTGACGCATTTCTCAATCCACCCACGCGCGTGTAAACGTTATATGTTATGCGCCATTAATGTTGAATAGCCCGCCCGTCCGCAGCACTCGGTTCGAGCGGCAAGAGCGGCCCGTTAGAGACATCCCCATGCCGCCAAAGAGAAAGCGCAAACGAGGCGGATGGAGACAACGACAAGCCCAAGACACTGACGATGAAAGCGACGCCGGCTCAGACAAAAGCAGCGCACTTGCAAACCTCCTTGTTCACATGATTCACATGGGAACAATCACCGCGGCAGTCGCCCAAGAAATAGCCGCTGCTGCTGTGCAGGACGGTTTGGAAAATACCATTGTTACCCAATTAAGCAATGTAGGAACGCGCGGCCGTCACGCTTTCAATGCCCGCCGTGACGTGTTCCGAATGCTTAAAGATGTGCCGCTCGTCGGTGCTATTTCCCAGTTCGAGGTGTCACTCATGCATCCCGTGTCGGGCGTGTTCAAGAGCAAACAACACATTTTGTTGCCTCACATGT